AAGGTGAGACCACGTGTATCACATGTGCTTCGTTGTGGAGCAGGACTGAAGTCCTAGAAACTCCCAGGAGTCCAGCTGTCACACACGGTCACCCATCCAACGACTCTCCGCGCCCAGCCTTTAACTTCATCTGATTGTGACCTGACCTCTACGTACAGGGCCACACGCTACCACTATCTAGCAACTACATGTATAGCTGAGAAATCTTTAATGGAAAGCATGGCAACACTTCTCTCCAAGCATTATCAAGAAGATTCAAATGAGGGATATTTCAAACGAGAGTTATTTGTTTGCTATTGTAATGTCAGGTTACTTGGGAATGTGTTCTTTGGAAAACTGGAAACCAGGAATCTGTATAACCATATAAAACAGCTCATTCTCAAAACATATATTTTATCCTGAAAATTGTGACGGACACAATTGGTTTTGTTTTTTTGTTTACAGTAGCTGATACTCATATTGAAAACCTGAAACCGAAATCACAAACCGAAACATGAGTCTCGATAACCTATTCAGACAATGACCTACTTTTCAGCCGATCCGAATTTTCTCGTGTGAAAGTGAAAAGAGACACCACAAACAACTATGGTTACATTGAATTCCAATTCCTTGTTTCATAAGAAAATGGTCTTTACAAGTTGTTTTTAATTTTAAACTTTAATAATATCGTATTTCTATATTTTGCGGTGAGGTGTAGGCAGCATGTCGTTAATTAAGGCGTCACAGACTGCCCCTGTTTGATGAGGTCGTAAAATGATTCTCAATTCATCTGCCTCACTGGTTACACCTGTCATGTGTTTCACGCTTATTCAGTGTAGTGTTGTAACGCACAATGCGATTTATATAATATCAAGTCCGTACCAGACCGCCAAACTTTTCTAGCGGCAGAGCCTCGTTTTGAGATTTCCACGATTTCCGTTTGTCAGAGCACGCTGCGTGTTTGCAAGGATTAAAAGAAACTTCGAGTTGAAATATACAAGTGATTAGATGTATCAAATAATACTGATTAATATTTATGTATCCAGTTGAATGAATTGGTCTCAAAATTCTGGCCTGGTTATTGTACGAAGTTGCGCAATAGGACGGAACCCAGTCAGCAGGAAACGAGACTGTTGTCTAATCAATCTTTTGACTTGTGACCTAATGCCATGCTGCTTGAATGTTCTGCATGACAATATTATTTGACTGCACTTTGAATGCCATCCTATAATATGATCAGCGGAGTTCTTGAGACAATGTTTCAGCAGGTGTTTTCGAACATTATCAAAATCTATAATTTATTAATGTTATTTCTTTTAAACAAAAACAAAACCTTTGAGTGAACGAAAGCAATAGAAGCTGAAGGCATGTACCACCGATATTTTCACCAATACCTTGTACCGTCAGAGATTGTTATGTGATTATGTGATTTTCTTTTAAAACCAGCCCACGGGACGGTGTGTGGCAGCGCTGATTCTGAGAGTTTCTCGGGATTCAGTTCTACCCAGGTAGTGTGTCTTTGGTAGCAATGTGGTACCCGATGTGTCGAGGTGTTTCTGGGGTACTGAGACCTTTCAGCGATTAACTGCCGGCAGACACGACAGTGGAATCCGAGTCTTGATGCATTGTAATTTGTCCTATTTTTCCACTCACACATATCTCAACTAATCCACAAACGACTTTGTAACAGTAAAGCTGACATACGCCCATCCAAAGGCTCGCGTCCAACGCTGCTTAACGTCAACTGATTTGTGACCTGAGCTCTATGCACAGGACCACACACCTCCACATATAGCTTTTACCCATATCCTACTTGCTGTGGTGAAGAGCTGTACACAGTTCATTTTTGTAGCTCATCCTTTTCTTGTTTATGATTAACAAGCGTTTTTAGCCTGTGGCCATCTGATAACCTGAAAATTTCAATTGATGAGTTATCGTGTACTTTTTGAGGTTCAGCTGTATAATGACTCAGCGTTGTTCTAAAGTCTATGTTACTAATAAAATTGGTTTTGTATTCGCCTTTAAGAATCACTGTTTTGATAATTAGGTCAAGATTCTTTATAGCATAATTATGACGAGACGTTTTGCTGTAGATTCTTACACCGTTTTCTAGCGTGAGTGTCAAGGTATAAGTCAATTATCTACCGAAACATCATATGAGAAGTTGTCATCCATAAAGTAGCTTGCTGTTCTCATTACGAATCAACTTCTAAACCGCCAATCAAAGAGCACTGTTTTGGATGAATAATCTTTTGAAGGCTGGAAAGATGATTCTGTAAGTTGAGTTCCCTTTTCAGCAATTTTACAGAAAAGGCCCAAGAAAAACAAAGAAACAACAGTACCCAAAAGTAGACCCTGTTTACGATACCAGCTACAATGTATGTGACGGTTACATGTGCTTATTCTATCTACGAACACCTGGTGTTATCAATGATTTCCAGCACCCGTGAAGATCCGGGTTAGAATTGGTCTTCAGTAACCCATGCTTATCGTGAGAGGCAACTAACAGGATCAGGTGGTCAGGCTCGCTGACTTGAATGATACATGTCATCGTATCCCAATTGCGTTGATCGATGCTCATGCTGTTGATCACTGGATTGACTGGTCCAGACTGTTATTTACAGATCGACGCCATATAGCTGGAATATTGCAGAATGCGGCGTTAAACAACAAACCACCCAACAACCACCCAACACTGATGTTCAGTGGCTCATTCACATTGTTTTCACCTCTAGTTTAACTGTTACGACCAGTGGAATCTGTTTCTTGGGATAACAGAGACTGGTTATTCTGAGGCACTTACGTTTGCTATTTCCCTTAACACAGTATAAGAACCTTAACAGTTTTTGGACCCCGATGAGTATATATAATACCATGTCGGCAACCATCCCAGTGTGGATCATGTTACAATTGCGCTAATGCATGAATATGCTTTGGACAATGAACTTTATGTATTTTCGACTCTCTTTACAAGTAATCCATTCGTATTATTTTCATCACTATTTTGTTTTACGCCCTACTGAATCCGTTTCAGGCTGATTATTCTCTGGCATTGACGTATTGAATTCACGTTCAATGTATAATGCGTTTTGAATTCACGTTCAATGCATACTGTGACTATAACCTTCTCCTCCAGGAAGTCTGGTATCCATTGATGACAATGCGCTGTGCTGTATCTCTCATACTGACTTCAGCCAGTGGACAAACACAACATCTACTTTCTTGATGATGTAGAGGTCCTTGAGCTAGTTCTCATCGATTTTCATGGAAGGTGGGTGTATCATGGGAGAGAATTGGTTGTACAATTAAGAAAACCAGATTACGATTTCAGCGCACGGATGCTTTCAGTAAGGACTCCTTCTTCAGATAATGTTACATGGCTTTGGACATTCAACAGACTGTTGGTAGCTGAATGTGGGGCTACCGTGTGTGTACTGTCCTGTTTACAAGTACTTCGGTCAGGCTCAGAAAAAAGTATGCTTTTACGCAAAGTGTATATTGATCGAAGCAGACTTTCGTAACAACAGGGGCTTTCAAGGATGGGAGTGAAACGGTCTTACATTTAAATACCACTCTTGGATAACTTTAATGGAAGAGTAAGCGTTTAGCTTAACCGTTGGACATAAAAGATAGCATCATTTGAGGATGTTGGGAAAATGAAAAGAATCCACGTAGGCAACAGTATGCTTAAAGTGTCTGTACTTTAAAAAAATAAAATAAATCCGACTCTTAAGTTTGATACAATACCTTTGATCCTACAACTGTATGGGAATGTGCATTAACAGCAAAAAGAACGAAACTTATTTCACGGACATGCTTTCAAATGTGAAACAGCCATGTAACAGCGTCTTCACAAACCGTTTAAGAGAGTCTGAGCTAAAATTATCCATAGGTTACTCAACAATATTAGTGTGAAGGACGATCATGAATGTCAGTATTTGTTAAATAAACTATACTCACAGCGTTATTCCGGGATGTCAAGTAAATCTACTTTAGCTAAATATACGGCTCACTGTCTGTAACCCCGTATAATCAGTTCCTGGTATGTCTTCAAATTGAACTCAACCGATATCAATCACCTCAATGCACAAAAGACATGGTACAAGTTCAGCTTATTTGGCAACATAATACAAGTTGTGTTAACACAACATTCCAGTGTTTGAAACGACAGGTTTCAAATTATGCTAATGGATTGATCGTTTGAGATCTACTGTCGGGTCTTCGGAATCATATTTATATTGATGATAATGAAGATGATGAAGATGATTATGATATGATGATGACGATGATGATGACGACAACGACGATGATGATGGTGGTTATGATGATGATGATGATGGTGGTGATGATGATGATGATAAGTGTCCAGCACACAGTACACACAGAATGCCCCCACAAACCTTCACTGTCATGTGCTTTACGCAAGAGGTAGTTTTTCAATAGTATCTCTAATTGCGATTCATATGAGGCTATTCTGACAAAGATATACTGCCCCAGAATGTCCTGAACGCAACTGAGATGACTTTGTCACTTTTTTGAAACTCCAGCGCGCTGTCCATGAGAGAACAGCCTGGCTCATGCATACTGATTTCACTCTACATGCTAAGGCAGGTGCTGTAATAGGTGCAGTTGTCAGCAACAGACCAACTTTTGAATTCATGATGTAAATATACAATTGATGAATAATGAACCTCGTTGACATTGCATCCATTGTATACAAGGACTGACTGTTATTTGAACAAGACATATTTCCCGTTCTTCGTTGTTTTCCTCGAACGGACATTTGGAATTATTGTTTCACAGTTCCATTTTTTGCATCCTTATCACTTCCCCCGATAAGTGAATATTATCTTCGGATAATTACATTTCGTTACTTCTTTATCCGATGAACAGTCAGTGAGAAAAACCAAAATAAATTGAATTTGTTTATCACCTCAAACAATCGGTTTCCAGTGTCTCAGTTCTTCATTGGCTCAGCTTGGGATAACACATCTGAAAAGAAAGTTTCAAGCATTACTCACCGAAGAAGCGAAGCTGTTCGAATCAACGGATCATTTGCTTCAGGAGAGTTGACATCCTCTCGTCTGCTGCTGTCCTTCCGGTCCGACAACGGTGTCGTCTGCTGGCAAAAAGAAGCGGGAATTAAGAAGATTCATCCATATCTTCCTGTTATCAGTCAAAGGCATATAACTATATCACTTATTTCTACGACGCCATTATTTGACAGGCTGCCACGGATCAGAATATACCCATCTTTAGACGGCAGGAGTCAGTGTGTAAACGTCTGGCGCTGTTGCCGTGTCTCGACAAATTGACAGCAAATAAAAGAAGCAGTCTTATTAACCGAGCAGTGATTTCGTCACACGATGAAAAGTAATCACCGCCCCCAAACACATTAAATAATAATATGGTGAGTACTTTGAGACTAAAGCTTAGACTCATCAATTATCCCAGTCAACGTGTTTCATTTCACGCTGCACTGGTATTACCTAAACAGGCCGACATTTCTTGCAATTTAACTACAGGCATAACCTGGTCTATGTGGTAACCGACATAAGCGGTTAAAATGTCAGCGTTAAAAAAATCGGGGAAAATAGAAACTGAAATGCCAGTGAATAGTACTCACAAGTTGTTAGTAAAGATACCTCCAGAGATTGCCTACTGCCGACTAAGGATTAATACTCGATTATTTACAGACCGCCGCCATATAGCTGGAATATTGCTGAGTGCGGGGTAAAACTAAACTCACTCACTCACTCATCACACACAAATTTCAACAGATGTCGTTCAAGATCACCGGACGAGACGACCTATTCGAGACATCTTTGTGAAATGTTCAAAGTAATTGCGAAAGAGTCGATGGGAACCACTCAGAAAAAGCCATATCCAATCTTCTGTATGGTTCCTACTGGCATTTTTAGAGTGAGTGAGTGAGTTGAGTTTTACGCCGCACTCAGCAATATTCCAGCTATATGGCGGCGGTTTGTAAATAATCGAGTCTGGACCAGTCAGTCCAGTGATCAACAGCATGAGCATCGATCTTTGCAATTGGGAACCGATGACATGTGTCAACCAAGTCAGTGAGCCTGACCACCCGATACCGTTAGTTGCCTTTTACGACAAGCATGGGTTACTGAAGATCAATATTCTAAACCGGACCTTCACGGGTGCATAATTAGAACATGTATTTCATGAGTGGAACAAAATCCTATAACTCCCCTGCTATGCGTCACAAATCCTTTACTTAGTATGTTTTGTTTTCGAGCCGTAGAACAATTTCCCTATCGGAGCTGTGAAATCCTTCAAATCCCCGACGAAATCCTTCCGATGGACAATGAATAATGCACGAAACGTCTGAGATGGTGGAGACGCAGATTAATGTTTAAATTGATTTGCGAACGGTAAGTTAATATACGTCGGAGTTTGACGTTTTTATCAACTCGTGGGAACAAATGTTATGCGACTTAGTGTCGATGTAATCAACGTTTACGCCGCGACGCTTCCAAGCGTGTCAATGCAGTATGTTTTAAAAATGACATTGGAGAAGAGGTTCCTTTTGACTCACTAAGCGAGTTTGCCATGTGCGTTATTCATATTGTGGTATTCAAAAACGGTATTGTCTTCCTGGTACCGATTGCCCGAATACATTGTTCAGGATCAAATTATGACACTGGTCGACAATAGATTCTAGATTATGCTATTTAAACCGGAATAGCAACAAACTAAGTTTATTACGTATTCATAAACGTTGGAACAGTATCCGGTCATATGAGAAAACGATTCTTCAGAAATATACAATACGTGCGCGTGATCATTCAATTTGAATTCACCGCCTCCGTGGTGTAGTGGATAGAGCGTCCGCCCGGAGAGCGGAAGGTCGCGGGTTCGATCCCCGACCGCGTCATACCAAAAGACGTTAAAATATGGTACTTGTTGGTCCCTGCCTGGCGCTCGGCATTAATGGGTACAACAAGGACTGGTCGGCTCGGAGTCAGTATAATGTGTCTGAGTGGGGTATTCATGCTTCACTGCGGCATGGTATCTCAGTGGGCTAGCACTATAAAACCAGCTTCAGTCTGGGCTAGTACAAGCAGCCGCACATACACATACACACGCATGCACGTCGTCATATGATCGAAATATTCTCAAGCACGACGTAAAAACTCAATTTCACCTCACCTCACCTCAATTTGAAATCACCTAATATTCATTTGTGTAATCAACCCTGCGCTAAAATATGAGTTCGTTTTATCTGATTGTTCCTTCTTTGAATCTGCCGTTTGATATTCATGTTAAGTGCTTTATGTTTATTTATACAATGAGTGAGTGAGTTAGATTTCACGCCGCTTTTTGCAATATTCCAGCAATATCGCGGCGGGGGACACCAGAAATGGGCTTAATTTAAAAATGAGGTCATTTCTTGTTTACCGAAAGAATCACGTAACACAACATATCCGTATCATATAATAGGAGGATGAGTGAGTGATTGAATGAGTAAGGTTTTACGCCACGTTTAGCAACATTCCTGCAATATCGCCGTGGACGCCAGAAATGGGCTTCACACATTGTAACCATGTGGGGAATCGAACCCGGAGTTTCGGCGTGACGAGCGAACGCCTGAACCACAAGGCTACCCCACCACCCCGCGTTGTGATGGACTTACTGAAACAATGATGATACCAATTCAGCACGACAAAAAACCTATCCTGTTGAATCATTTCAATTTGATGTTTTGTAGCGATATTATACAACTCTTGTGGATAACGCTGTTGACAAGACTCCATCTTCCCCATCAGTCGTTGCAGTTTTTAACTTTATCACTAACCTGTTTCAAAATAAAACATTTTTTCACAGCTTTCTTAACGTGTCATGATGTATACTACTCACACTTTGCTAAGGATCACAAAAATTCACAACTTTACTTAAATGTAGGTTCATAATTTGAAATTGTATCCATTTAAAACTGGAAAAATAATAATATGGTAATCCCTCTTTAGGCAAACTGTCACTGTAATCTAACCTTATGCACTTGATACATGAGTAACCGTCAAAATGGTTTTCATGGCACCAATCAACCAATTTGCAAATCATGGAACGAGTCATTGACAAGTACACAACACCTGTCAATAGCAGGTATGGGATCCACAAGTAGTGGTGTGACGATTCATCGATACGCATCGATGCATCGATCCATGGGCCGCCGATACAGTGAATCGATACAAAGCTTTACATTGTCGTATATCCCGATACGATACTTCAAATGGGCCACGATACATCGATGTTTAACTTTGAATATTGCCGAATCGCGATATCTGTCAAGTAAAAAGACTTACTTTTGTTTACTGATTCAAATATATGCTTATTTATTTTCCCTTCATAAGTAAACGTTTTCTCGGAAATTATTGCGTCAAGAGCTGTGTCAGACATAGCGCGCATGTTATTAACATTCACAAAGTCCATGTATAAACTTCATTATCTCGTTTCCGAATGAACAGTGAAAAACGCTGGCAGAATTTGACGAATACTTATAAATGGTTTTGTTTTGATTTTAAGGTGTTTTATAGTTGGTGTTAGAATTAAAGATTTTAGTATCGTGATACGTATCGTATCGCCACCCATATATCGGGATTCGTATCGTATCGCAGCTTCAGTGCACAATACTTTGGCAATATATCGTCTTGACTAAAATTTTAGTATCGTGATGTATCGTATCGCAGGTTGTATGCCAATACCAGCACTATCCACAAGATGAAATGACATACTGAAACCTAGGATCCATGCTTACAATAAGCTTAGATCTTTAAACCAAATTTGACCCTACATCATAGATTTCTGTTGAATCCATGATTTGATCCTTAGCAAAGCGTGAATAGTATAATTATTTAAATGTACATTATATCATGAGTACTTGATCGATACATAGACACTGTTAATGTGACCTTCGGGAAGACAGTACGATTAATGACACGTGGAATACCTCAGATACGAGGCATTAGAGTCTCACGTTGAAAAAATAGGAGCATCTGTTTTTGAACCTAGGCCTATAAGCTGCTGTGTTTCGATGTAGTGACTGATAGAACCTCGTCACAGAAATCGAAGTAAAATCGCAACAGTATTAATCTGCCGTCGTTTGTAATTAGGTCAGATAATTCGTAAACCTTGACCTTGTGAACATCTCGTGCTCAGCTGTGCCAGAGAGCATCAGTACATTCAAATCGCTGTTCAGTTCCAACTGCCTTCTCCTTTTGCTCTGCTGGTATAATATAAAATATGCCATTCATAAAGTTGTGTATCGTTTATGCAGCTGTTGGCTACCACAGATGACCCACTCCTGTAAGAAGTCCCAATTCGCTAAACACATTTGGAACCTTTGTTTCAGAGACCTGTGATCCGTGAGTGAGTGAGTGAGTTAATATTTAACGTCACATCGTGTGATCCGTGAAGATCCGGGTTAGAATTGATCTTCAGTAATCCAAGCTTGTCGCAAGAGGCGACCAACGGGATCGGGTGGTCAGGCTCCCAATTGCGTAGATCGAAGCTCATGCTGTTGATCACTGGATTATTTGGTCCCGACTCGATTACTTACAGACTGCCCTCATATAGCAGGAATAGTGCTGAGTGCGGCGTAAAAGTATACTCACTCACTCACTCACTCACCCCAGAGACCTGTGGCGGTGGGTGCCGATCCCATATTCGCTCTGATAACTTCCATGTTTGCCAGCACCATGCCCACGGTTTACACGTGGTAATGCTCTAAAACCTACATCACTTTGGGTTTTCATCACACATCAAAAAGATCTAATCTAATCCAATCTTTTTGTAGAGCGCTGAATGGTCCAGGTTGACTGTTCACTGGCGCTTTTACATATTCACAGTATATACACAGTGCCTCTTGTCTTAACAGTCATAGGCAATTTTGAAGAAATAGGTTTTGTAAGTTTGTCCGAAATGTTGATGGCGTTTCTGATAACTTGATGTGATCTGGAAGAGCATTCCACATAGATGCTGCTGCGCATCTGAAACTGCGTTCACCCATAGCTGTTTTACAGTGAGGCTTTTGGAGAAGGTCCTTGTCTTGGGAACGCTGTGGCCGGCTTGGTGTGTGAGGCTGAACAAGGGCTT